ATACCTCCCTTAATCCTCATTAAGGGGGGGATGACAGAGAGAACAGGCTGATCACGCTAACAAAGCAGATTACCTACATTAAACACTCTCACCTAGAGAGACCCAATCACTTTAATTTCCGCATTAATTACTCCTTAATCAAGTACTAACTTGACCGTTGGAGGCGGAGCTCCCACCACCAGGAGTCTCCGTTGTTTTGCAGGTACAGGCGTCCGGTTCCAGTCTCGGAATTGTAACTCTCCCGCAGGACATCAGAAAACCCCGAAACAGGAGTAGCAAGATACATTGGCGATCCTGGGAAACCATGTGCATGCCGAAGGGGAGAGGAGGGTTAGGATTCCGTGATCTAAAGGATTTCAACCAAGCTTTGTTGGAAAAGCAAATATGGAGACTTCAATTCAGGTAAACACGGGTTCTCTTGCTCATTCAATTATGAAAGCACAATATTTTAAACATACGGATAAAATTGGTGCTTTTAGAGGTCATGACCCTAGCTATCTATGGAGGAGTTGGTGGGGTGCAAAGGGGATTGTGCGTGATGGCGTTGGATGGAAGATAGGGGATGGTCGTAGTGTAAGAGTATGGAAAGACCCCTGGTTATTCAAAGATGGCTAGCCAATCTTCCTCCAATTTCCAGGTGGGGACATGAATGAGAATATGTGTGTTTCGGAACTCCTTGTGGAAGGGAAAAATATCTGGAATGTGGGGAGAGTCAGAGATCTTCTAGGTGAGTATGCGCCCATTGCCTTATCCATGCCTCTATCACAATACAATACGGTTGACAACGTATATTGGAGGTCTACAAAAAACGACCAATTTATAGTGAAGTCGTGTTATTGGATGATTAGGGGGGTGGGGGATGATAATGTTGTGCCTGATGTTTGTTGGAAGTCCGTATGGCAGATGAAAGCCCCTTCCAAATTAAAACATTTTGTGTGGAATGCTCTGAAGGGAAATATGGTTGTAAAGGAACGTCTCTGTCAAAGGCACATCACTGAGGATAACAATTGTCAAGTTTGCGAAGGTGGTTCTGAATCGGTGATGCACTCGTTTTCCTGCAAGTTAGCTCGAAGCATATGGAGAAGGAGTACTTTTGAGAGACTATTGGAGGATGCACCTCAAGAGTCTTTCGTGGAATGCTGGAAATGGCTGTTCAACAAGGTAACTAAGGGTACTATAGTGCATATGGCAGCCTTGATGTGGGCAGCATGGAGGTGCCGAAACTTGATAATTTTCGAAGGTGTTGAACCGGATGTAGTGCAGGTGGCTTCGAGTTTCTGCAATTATGTGACGAAGTACTCTACCTATGCAAATTAAAGCGTGTGTTCAGAGTGGTTGTGGACCCGATGGTGCGCTCAAGCACCTGCTGGCAGAAACTTGTGGCTGGGTGGATGAAAGTGAATGTGGAAGCCCATGTTAGAACTGATGCTATAGCGGGTCTAGGAGTGGTGGTGCGTGATCACCAGGGGCAGCTGGTCTTGACAGCAACAAAACATATCCATCACTCGTCCCCGGAATGCGCTGAGGAACAAGCTGTAAGATATGGCATAGGGATTGCACGGAGAGGTTCAGTTACAGTAGGGTGTGTGTGGAATCCGATTCTTTGAACGTGATAAATGCTATCTCATGCCCGAGTAATGGAAGATCTCCTATATATGCTGTTTATGATGATATTATGATTGATAGAGCATGGTTTGATTCGTGTATGTTCTCTCACACGAAAAGGAACCGTAACACGGTAGCCCATTTAGTAGCCCATAGTGAAGTGAGAGATGGATTGGAGACTATTCGTTTCCCTTCGTTCACCTAGAGCATTGTAACTTTTCCTACTTTGGATTTATCCTAGTAATATAAAGATCTATCTTTTCCATAATTAATAATTAATAATTAATAATTAATAATTAATAATTAATAATTAATAATTAATAATTAATAATTAATAATTAATAATTAATAATTAATAATTAATAATTAATAATTAATAATTAATAATTAATAATTAATAATTAATAATTAATAATTAATAATTAATAATTAATAATTAATAATTAATAATTAATAATTAATAATTAATAATTAATAATTAATAATTAATAATTAATAATTAATAATTAATAATTAATAATTAATAATTAATAATTAATAATTAATAATTAATAATTAATTAATAATTAATAATTAATAATTAATAATTAATAATTAATAATTAATAATTAATAATTAATAATTAATAATTAATAATTAATAATTAATAATTAATAATTAATAATTAATTATTAATTATTAATTATTAATTATTAATTATTAATTATTAATACGTGGTAGCAAACATACAAAAAAAACACCTATAAAAGAGGAAAGTTTGTATGACTTGCATCAGTAAATTCTTACAATATTTGGGAAGTCTTCATTAATGAACCTTGCAACTACAGAGATGAGTCGCAAAGTGAAATTTGTCTCCAAATTGTGGGAGTTAAAGAATAGGGGTTTTATACGAGTGATTTGGAGGGAAAATGGGTACATTTAGGATAATAAGAGGTCATGTGACAAGCACACTATGGTCAATGCCGGAAATTAAAAGGTCAACGCTAGAAATTAAAGGGTCAACGCCGAAAAGTAGGTTTAGGTTGTCTTTGACAAAAAAAAATTGTAACCAAGTCTGAAGTAACAATTTTTTTTATAAGGTTGTTTCTAACAAAGTGGTCGCTTTAAAAGGTATAAATTTGTTTCTAACAAAGTGGTCGCTTTAAAAGGTTGTTTTTAACAATTTTTCCAAACAGAAAACCCAGCTCCCAACCAACGACAACCCCACCACCACCCACGTTCGATATCCCTTCTCCACCAGACCAACCTATGTTCCCAACCCACACCTTGTTGCGCCTAGACCCTCTCTCCCATGCCGACATCGCCCTCCCCGGCTCCCCTTCCCCCAAAACCACCAAACCCCACCCCGAAATCCCTTAAAACTCCCTCCCCCACCGCATAATAAAACCCCCAATCGCCCCTTCCCCCACCCTTCAAGGGTAAAGTGGAAGTAAGTAGCAAGCTACTACGAATGTACCCCAAAACGTAATAAAATAATGTCATTTTGATTTTAAGATTCAAGTCCTGTCCATCCAGTTATGAAAAGATAATTTATTATATCCATTGGTAATAATAATAATACTAAGATGATAAATATAGATATAATTAAACAAATTTGTTTAATATGTTTAATTAATAATATCATATTGTTATCAAAAATTAATAATTATATTAAAATAAATTTGTTTATTAAGTATATAATGTATAACTTATATAAGTTTTGTTTTAATTTGCGGGATGAATAGCGGTCTCAAAAGATCAATTTTTGGTATATATTCTATTACCATAATTTTCTAATATCTAGTTTGGCAAAATAATTTGATAGTCATTTATACCTAACGAAAATTATTGATATTTCATTAGTTATTTAATTTATCATGATCCATTAATGATATGATATTTTTACATTAACTTAATTTTATTTATTTTTAATTATTGAAGACAATAAAGTCTTTTATTTAAGGGTGGGGAAAGAAGCGAATTGTTTTTTTTTATTTTTTATTTTTTTTTATTTTTTTTTTAACATTAAGGCGACAAAATGTTAGTTTTGGTTTTAAATGCAATTGCATGTTGTAATAGGTTTAGACATACTTAATATTTATAATTTTGAACAAATATATTTGTCAAAAAGAGTCATAACTTTATTGAAATAAAAAGATTCAATAGTCTCAAGATCATATCAAATATTATATTCAAGATGATAAAAATAATTTGATGTATGATACTATAAGGAAGTATAACCCGAGATAATATCCATTACTGATTTCATTAAACAATTTTTTTTGGCTCATGGATAAGAGAAGGATGTTGGAAATTATTTGTTTGCGTGAAAAATTAGCTAAAATTATCATAATTAGCGTTGTTAATTGTTTGCAATTAGCATAATTAGCGTTATTAATTACTTTGTTAATTTAAATGCAGAATACAAAATTTTTTTTAATTAATTGCAAATTTGAAAAAAAAAACCCACCCAAGTGCATTAGACATAACAATACTTAATCGTTAATAGAATTGAATCTAATTGTTATTGTTCTCGTTACACCTAAATTTCTTCCAAATGTGCTCAACCAAATCGTGTTTTAATTGCAAGTGAACTTGTTGATCTTCAATCTCTATTCTTCGTTGCAAGTATTTCAATCTCTGTTCTTCGTTGCAACTATATATTGATGTCTACCACACGCTCATTACGATACTCGAAAGCATCCTCGTTGGAACCACTTTGGCTGTTAATGAAGTGAATCGTGTTAGAGTTGTTCAAATACATATCTCGCTCATCTTCAACGTTCATGTTGTGCAATATGATGCACGATAACATAATCTTATGAAGTATTTGAACATCCCAAGCAAGAGACATTTTTCGAATTACAGCGAATCGAGATTGTAGAACTCCAAAAGCTCGCTCAACATCTTTCCTCGCTGCTTCTTAATGTTGTGAAAACAATTTATGTTTTTGAGTCTGTGGACTAGTTATAGACTTCACAAAAGTAGCCCACTTGGGATAAATACCGTCAGTAAGGTAATATCCCTTGTTTTATTGATGACCATTAGCAACAAAGCTCAAAGGAGCAGTACGCCCCTCCAACACATCCTCAAATACAGGAGATCGATGTAGCAAATTTGAGTAATTGTAAGAACCCGACATCCCGAAGAAAGAATGCCAAATCCACAAGTCTCGATCAGCAACAACCTCTAATATAAGAGTGGCTACCCCTTTTATGCCTTGATACTGTCTTTTCCATGCCGTCGAACTATTTTTTCCACTCCTAGTGTATACAATCAATGCTTCTGATCATGCCTGGAAATTTACGCTCCTCTCCGATTCGTAGAAGCCTTTCCATATCATTACCATTTGGTCGTCTCAAGTATTGATCACCGAATTGGTTGATGACACCTTTGGTAATATTTTCTAATGCCAACTATGCAGTAGTTCTGCTTATTCTTATGTACTCGTCACAAGCGTCGGCGACTAAATCGTAAGACAGTTTCCTAATTGCTGCAGTGCACTTTTGTAGTGGAGACAAGCCTAGACGACCAGTAGCATCTCTCCTTTGTTGGAACCATGCATCATTTTCTATTATTGCATACATAACACGTTCAAAGACATGCTTGTGCATTCGGAATCTACGTTGGAAAAGGTCACTTAGGTAGACTGGAACTTCTACAAAGTAATCATTGTACAACCACACATGACCTTCTTGATGCCGTCTATCACTGTGAGGAACAGGTTTGCGGGAGCGCCGTGCTGGAGGGGTTTCCATCGAGGTTAGGATTGGGAGGTAAGTGGAGGTGACTGTGTCAATCATGTTATCTATTTCCTTCTTTTCTCGAGCTAACGCTTCCCTTCTGTCCTCATCTTAGCTACCAGTGGAGCTTATATTAACTTTGTAGGAATCCATTTTCTTCGTTTTTGTTATTTGAAAGAGTAAGAGTTATTAGTTTCAGAATAAGATTATGGTTTTGATGAAGAAAGATTGCACTTTCGTAGGCGTAGTTTGTACTTATATAAAAAAGATCAATGATGTGAATGCACAAGTGCATCACATGAAAATTAAATAAAATTTTATGTAGATTTGACAACTCAATGGATTCTGAAAAGTCATCCCATGGAAGGTCATCACATGTAATAAATGGATTCAGAAAAGTCATCAAATTGACTCTGAAAAGTATTAATAGGCTCTGAAAAAGTATTCAAATAGAGTCATCAAATCAAGTGGATTTTGAAAAGTATTTACTATTGGATTTTGAAAAGGTAGTAGTATGGTAAGCTTTTGAAAAGGACTTAACAAATCACGTGAACAAAGTTTCACACATAAAACGACAAATATTTATAATTTTATTACATGATTGCAATACTATTCATTACATATACAATACCGATTAGAAGGAAAGACACATTAAACTAAACATAACACAACTAACCCAACATGAAACTAAATACATTGAATGGAAAAAAAAACTTAAAACACAGCACTAACACAATGCAACCTATTCCATAACATAACATTAAAATGCCCTAAATTTGCTGAGGTATTCTTGGAGTTCGATGATCATCTGATCTTCCGATGGGGCACGAACTTCTTTGACAAGCAATTGTTGGAGCATGTCCCAATTTATTTTATATTGTTGCATCTGAATGTTTCTCTCCTCCAACTCGATTTTCTTTTTTCTTTCTTCTTCTCCAACTCGAGCCTCTTCAAATCTCTATCAACGGCCTTATCCCTCATCTCGCCGTACAGTTTAAGTTTGTCATCAAATGATTCAAAAGTATCAAGTGCCTGAGTTGTTACTTCCTTGCCCTTCAACCTCGACTTAGCCTTCTTCGCACCATCAGGACGTGGTACAAACTCATCAGCAAAAACGTCTCCACTTGTTGGTGAATTTGGTGTTGATCCACCATCTTCATCCCTTGATCTCTTTCCATTGCTACCGCTCCCCAGGGTGTCAACCGTCGCAGAATTCTTTGTTGGACGACCACATCCTGACACATGAACTTTTTGCTCTAGAATAGAGTGATATCTATCCCACTTCTTAAGTTGGAGCCACTCTTTATAGAATTGGAACTTCCCATAAGAGTTCTTATGGATCTTGTGGGCCTCAGTAATCACATCATCATCATTTTTCCCGCTACGCATCCTTGCCTTGTCGATACTACCACACCACTTGACAACCGCCGGAGCAATTCTTAACCAGCGTCCCTTCAGACTACCAACGGTTTTGATGGTGATCTCCTCCGGGTTTGCTTTTCTTACTTCTTTGTAGGACGCTAGAATCTTCTGCCAGAATACATTTGATTTTTGATTTGTTCCGGTAATTCGATCGTTGGTCGTGTTCATGTACGCAGAGATTAAAGCGGTTGTCTCTACATCATCCAAAATATTTTTATCGGGCTCTTCAGTGGGTTAAGCAGTGGGATGAGGTGCAGATTGGAAGGTCGGCTGAGTTAGGAGTTCGGTGAAGTTCATTTGGGTGCATGGAACATCCAATTCCTCCTCCTCTCATCGTCTTCTTCATCGTCATCAAGTGCATAATTTTCGTCTGTGCTCCTGCCTCCTCCGGGTGTTGACTGACGAGAATAACCACTTCTTGGACCATATTCACCGTAATTTTGTTGGTAACTTGGTTCAGTTAAGAAGTTTGATTGACTGGGTTGAGCGTAGTTGAAGCTTGGTGGGTAATTTTGACAATTTCCCTCAACATTTAGAGTGAAACTTTGAGGGATTACTTGTGGAGAATTTTGTGGGTGATTAGGGGGAGTTTGAAACCAATTTTCTTGAAGTATAGAATAATTGGGTGGATTTTTTTATTTGTGCTTTGTTTGAGGTTTTGGATTATTAAAAGCATAATTAAGAATATTTGCTTCCATAATTTGTATTTTTTTGGCCAGTTTTGTGGAAGAAATTAAATTAAGATACAAATTGTTTTTTGTAAGAATATGGTTTCAAAAAGAGATAATTTTTTAGGTTGTCGAAACTATATCAATATGGGTGTCTATTTATAGAGAATGAAAAAATATGACCATTGGTAATTTCTTGTAAAAATAATATGTTAAAAGTTATTAACGTTACAAAAATTGTAATGTTAATAACTGTTGCAGATCCAACGGTATGCATGGTGACACGTGGTGTGCTCTGCACGCTACCAATGTCACCAATTCTCTTTTTTTTTTTGTTTTTTTTTTTGTAAATTCACCAAAAGCAAATGCTTGTAAATTCACGTGAGTTTTGTATAATAATAAATCACCAAAAGCAAATGCTTGTAAATTCACGTGAGTTTTGTATAATAATAAATCACCAAAAGCAAATGCTTTGTCAGACAAACAATTTCCCACAGATGGTTTGCTTTTCCAAACCGTTCATTGTTGTATGTTCACCGCACTATTCATCACATCTGATATATTTTATATTATTTTATGTAAATAGTAACTCAAACAATTTACTTCATTCATGGTTAAGGGTGCTCTAAGAGAGTAGGTACAACATGGTAATTGGTAAATATTTATATAATTTTATCATATAATCTTTGATTTAGTTTACACATTTAGGGGGTTGAAAGTAGAGTAGGAATATTTTAAACCATGCATAGAGCAACACGTGTCAAAGTGTAGTTTGAGTGTCCTATGTTTTAGTATGTATATAGATTAAAGAAATTGAGAGCATAAGTAACATATGAATAATTTCTGAATTTGAGGATGGTAAAAAAGGAACGAAGAAATACAAGAGTGAAAAGTATTTTCTATTTACAAAAAAAAAAAAAAACAAAAAAATCTAGTCAATATAATGGAGGGTGTAGATCACATAATAAAAGTTAACAGTTTGGATTAAAATACTACAGTGGCTACAAAATGAGTGTTGGCATTGCAAAGTTATCCAATAAATGGAGCCATACAATAAATTATCAGAAATGTTAATGAGGGTCCAATGTATTGTAATAAATTATTACTCCATAATTTACAGTCAAAGAGTCAATATTAAGCAAGTACCACACAGAAGAAAAAAAAATAAAAAATAAAAAAAATGAAGGAGAAGTTATTTTAGTAGTAAAATAAAATGTTATTACTTATGCAACTTAAAATTCTTTAATATATTCCAAAAATCCTCATTAAAGAGTTGATTAGCCCTAAACCCTAAACCTTAAACCTTAACTAACTCATTAAACAATTGATTAACCCTAAACACTAACTTTTACCATAAACCCTAATTGAAAAGGAAAAATTGTCATGAACTACCCGTCTAACAGGTCATTTGTCAACAAGTATTCACTTGAAAGTTTTATAAAAAAAACTACCCCTAAATTTTAAAAGTTTGAGTGGCACTACCCCTTTTGGTTTTTTGACAACAAAATCCGGTGAGTGGGGCCCACTTTTAATTTTCCTTTCTAAACTTGAGCTCAACTCGCCAAATTTTGTTGAATAATTACAAAATTAGGGTTCTTTGTTGAAATAGAAATTGAGGGTTTTGCAAAATTGGGGGGAAAATTGTGGTTTTTCATTGTAATCGGCCAATTTAGGGTTATGAATACATTGTTTTTTACTTCTTATTTGTAGAAAAATTGGGGGTTTTGCAAATTTGGGGAAAATTCGTCATTTTGTGCTTTAGTTTTGGAAGGAAAAATAAAAATGGGCCCCACTCGCCAGATTTTGTTGAGGAAAACCAAAAGGGGTAGCAACACTCAAACTTTTTAAATTTAAAAATAGTTTTTTTTTTTATATAAAACTTTTAAGCGATGCATTAGCCCTAAACCCTAAATCCAAAGCAACTCATTAAAGAGTTGATTAACCATAAACCCTAAACACTAACCCTAATTAAAAATGCAACATTTCTTGTGAGTAATTGAATGTTTTCCAAATTAAATATCAATACCCTAATGTATTGAGAATACCCCAATAATTATTAGAAGGCCCCAAAAAAACATTGCTCGTTTTGCATGCATAATTTTTTTTTTTTTAAAATAGGCTACTTTAATTAGTAATTTTATAATTTTTAACGTATAGAGATTTGCTAATTTTTATCATTTTCATTAATCATAATACAATGACAACAATGTATTATTTTAGGAAAATTTGACATTTGCTACCAGCGAAAGCACCTCGTGTCACATTTGCTACCCGTTTAATTTTTTTATTTTATTTAACTACCACCCAAGTTCCCTAACTATATATTTCACTACCAGATAACGGTTTCTATCAATGTTGCTGCTAAGTGGGTCCCAATTTATCCATCACCACACTAATTTATTAACCTACACAATACTAACCACTCACCAGCACTCCCCTGCTCCTAGCTCCTCACGCACACACCTCACTAACCCCTGCCAGTCGCACCTCCTGCATCACCACCATTCACACCATCACCGATATCACATCAAATCGCCACAACTGCCACCAGCGCAACAATTACGCACATCATCGAACCACCACAACTCCCCTTCTCTCTCCAACATCACCAAGCTTTGCCCACACTTCAACCCCCACCGCAACACTGCAGCGAGCACCGCCTGAACTAACACTCCCACTGGTAGCATCACCATAAGAAGTCGCGCTCCACTAGCAGCCCTGCACCATCATCAATGGAAGCCGACAGCCCAATCGAACAAATAGCAGCCTGCAAGAAGCTCTAATTCAACCTGCAATTTCAGTATTTGCAGCCCCGCAATTGGCAATATACGCCCCAATTCAGGCAAAGAATTAGATACTCTAGAGCGAAATTAATGAAATTGGGTAGTTAAGATGCATTGAATCGAATCAACGACTGCGATTTGATGATGATTGAAGGTGAAGCATTTGAAGCCGTTGATTTCAGTTGATGGTGGATGTTGAAGAAGCGAATCAGAGCAGGCAAAGAAAACGAACAGGGGAGGGGGGGATGATGATGTAGATGTTTGGGATAAAACCCCCCCCCCTATGCCACGTGGCCCAATACCGTACTGACACGTGGTAACCCTGCAAAGGCCCATTGGGATCCAATCGGATGCTGACACATGGCATTGTAACCCTAATTGGGGAGAAAATCTTCATCTGCTATAAATAGAGGAAATTCCTCATTTATTACAGACACACAAACATTCATAAATACATACACAAAAACCGAGCAATATTAATTGCGAAATCTCTCTGAATCAGGGAGAAAAACCCATTTACTTTCCGCACTTTCACCCATCCAGAATCATACTAACTTGATCATCGGAGGCGGAACTCCACCCAACCGGAGTTTCATGGTTTTTGCAGGTACAGAAGTCAAGTGCGCATACTTAGGATTGTAACTCTCCCGAGGGACTCCAAAAACCCCGAAACATTTGGCGCCATCTGTGGGGAGAGTACTTCTGAGATGGCATCCGACACTGTATCGTCTGTAGAAGGCAGCCGACCTACGGCTGAACCTGAGGTCCATACGGACCATGATAGTGGTGACAACTATGAGGTCGACACCTATGTGGCCCCAGACGGGTCACTTCAAACAAGGCGCATCCGTTCCAAAGAAACAAGGGAACGGGGCCAGGACAAAGTTGGTCCCAACAACCTAGGCGGCAAGCATGCTAGGTAACCCCAGGCGGCGGAGGGCGCAACCCCCGTCACCAGAGACGAGCTCATGAAATTCATTACGAGTTTCAAGGGGGAAATAAAGGACATAATCAAGAAGTCAACTGGCTCAAACAAGGGTCAGTCGGCAAAGAAGCCTTCTCCCTCCGTGAAGAAGCAAATCAAAGACCAGGTTCCTACTCCTCACCCCAAACCCAAGGGGACGGATGGGCCCCTGATCGACCTCTCAAAACTTCGTTTCCCTGAATCAGGGCAAAAGAAGGCCATCTGGCAAGTAAAACCGGATGGGTCAAAGAAGACTTTCTTTGACGCCCGGATGTTCATCCAGGAGAAGAGAAGTCAGCAAATGTCTGGGTTGGCCTCAACGTCGACTTACCTAGACAGTTTCCGCAATACTTCAATGAAGCATTCGGAGACGCACCAAGGGAGTCAGTCACGCGACATGTCTGCACGTACTGACCCTCATATCATCCAGCCGGTTTCGTATGTGCCCCAACAGCCATACATGCCGTATGGATCACCATACATGCAGCCGTCCCCCTTTGGGGGTCAGGCGGCACATCAGGTCCAGCCTATGGACTGGCAGCTCTGGCTGCTCAACCTTGGGGAACAGCCTTCGGCTTTCTCTCGGGAAATTACCGAGGCCGCACAGCCGGCCAAGGTTAAAAATGTGTTAGTTGGTACCTACGACGGTACCACCAACCCAGAAGACCACCTAATGGCATACACCAACCTCATGTACCTACAGGGGTTGGATGATGCCGCCTGGTGCCGATGCTTCCCAGCTACCTTGAAGGG